AAAAAAAAAAGTAAATATAAGCCAGCTTGGCATGGTGGTGCATGCCTACAATCCCAGCATTTGGGAGACTGAGGCAAGGAGATGGCAAGCTTGAGGACTACACTGGGAGACCCTGCCTCAAACAACCAAATAAAAAAGAGTAAATATGAAAGGACATGACGTGCTTCTGATAAGACCAACTAGTTAAATGGTAATAAAACCTAAAATAAAATCCATTTCTCCTAACCCTTGGATACTTCTCTTTACATTTACAAAAGCTATTCTGAATTGGGCAAGTTTGACAACCTCCTAATATTTATCATTGATTCAATGGCTCTCAAACCTGAGTGTGCATAAGAATCATAAGAGGAGTCCCTGTAAAGTCTCCTTCCCCGGTCTTTGGACAAAGGAACCTACATTTTTAATAGACATTCAGATGACTTATCTACAGTCACAATTAAACACAGCTGCTACTCATCACTAGCTAAAAAAAACAGCTTCTGTTCCCAAGTACTTTGCTTTACAACACAAATCTTCACAACGTAACTAAGTGAATTTTGTAAAGTGGATTCTACTTTCCCACAGGTGGACTTTAGAACTTTAGAATACTTCACTGTGAGGGACGGGAGCAGTTCCTACTGTTCTTCCTTCTCGTGGTCAAACTGCACGTGAATCCTTTCCTCACCTCCACCTGGGTGGTGAAAGACAATGTATGTATCCCTCTAAAAGACCACTACCTGACCCAATTCACCTGTTTTATTCAGCAGGCACATCAGTATTCTAAAAGTGCTAGACTTGTAAATCTTACTTTTGAAAACACAACGGCAAAAATGTCTTCAGGAAGGAAAATTAAATTAGAAATTGTTTTAAACAGAAACCTACTTCAGGACATATCACTGCTAATATATTTTTTCAGCGACAACAGTTGCTAATTAGCTGCAACAGCTTCTTGAAAAGAAAATACCAACTATGAGTGGAGCCTCGCCCTCATTTTTAACTTTTGTACCAAAATTCATTTAAATAAAATGCTCCCACTAAACAATGCAGAGGAGACACAAGGTAGTGAAAGACAGCAAGATTTTATTTTTCAGAGAAAGAAAAAACTCATTCCAGGAGGTTAATTCAGTTTGAGGTATTTACATTAAGGCATCTAAGGTGTGTGATACCTAATAAACCTAAACAAGTGACACAAAATTTAACTGGAAATGTGATATTATGAATAGTTTACTAGGAGTGTCCTTCTGGCTACCGGTTATCTATCAATGTAAATGTTCTTTGATAAACTGAATACCTTGAACATTAGTTTTTCACATACTCAGTTTTCCTGAAGTGAAGCACATAAATACTACAGTCTGTTTTTGTAAAGTGAAACAATGTATCTTTTACAGTCTTTCTCCGCAATCCTTTGTCAGGGGAGACTAAGAAGAAAAAAAAACACTTTGAAGTCTTAACCGATGAAACAATAGTGGTAACCACATTATGAAAATAACATTTCTTTCCTAAAGAACACTCGAAAATATTCTTCTGATTACACTCATCTTCCAGTAACCAACTTTCTTCTGTTTGCTCTCATTCCTTAGAGCAAACGTTTTCAATATTAACCAATATTAATTTTAAGTTCACAAATTATTGTTTCCAATGGAATACACAGAGCCTCTCAAAACAATCCCCCATCAATCTAACAAAAAGCAACACATGCATTTGGTAATTCTAGGGACGATGGGGATGCTCAGACATCTCCCTCCAAATAAATAAACTTTCCAGGATCTTTATTTACCGACTTGGGAAAGGTCCGTTGGAAACAACTAAACAACTTCGCTCCCAAGTTGGCGTCCTGGAGGATCCTCGTAGGTTTACGCTACACCCAGGAGCCCAGAGCCTCCCGGCCCCAAACTGGCCGGGGAGCAACGCCCATCGGCCCAGCCGCGAGAGGAAACAATGGGCGCGGCGCACGGAGTCGGCCCCGCGCCCCGGAG